GAAGAGAAGTTTAAATTGACGTATGTTTTCGGAATGAGATGCTATTTAGGTTATACTCTCGTCTTATGATCACTTAAATAAGGAACTTATTTTTGAATCGACTTCCAAAATGCCGCCATAAAGATTGTCTTTTCCTATACATATTCACATATTTTTACTTACATTTCCTTTTTATTTTTTGCAGAAAGCAAAAACTAAACTTGTTTAAAAACTGTCCGACCAGCAAGGTTGATTTGAAAAAAAATACTGGGGCAATTTTGAATGCATTCTTGTACGACGAACAACCTGAATAAGCACCTTGTCTTTTGAATTCAATGTCTACAGTACTTTGCCGTGCCAATTTATCAAGTCCGAATTATGGTAAATCATTTCTTGTATCGTCATATATTCGTACAGCTAATCTGACCAATTTTTTACAAGATCTGCTAAAATAAAATTACCCTTCATTGTCTGGCACCTAAAAATGACATAATTTATGGTAAATATATTTGCGATGATATTGATGCTAAAGTAACTTTGCATTGTTGTTATCGAAACCAATGGTGTTGAAGTTATTCAGATACAGAGATTCAAGTTTTAGAAATCACATAAAAGGCCATGAGTACATTAAACTATCACTTTTAGGTATTATTATTATTATTATTATTATTATTATTATTATTATTATTATTATTAACTTGTTCATATCCCTTAGTAGGGCAAAGGCTCTTACATTATAAGGGTACACCTACACCCTTTCAAAATCTCTTGGCCTCGCAGACCACTGGGCGTGAGATGTATGTACAATATGGTATATACCGTTCAGGAGTGATGGGACATTATATACACACCTTTCCGATTCATTGGCAATTGCACAAGGGGCCCTGCAGTGTTCGAATTTAGACTCTATTATCTTCCAACTATACGTAAACGATATGTCCTCGAGGATTCGAAACTGAAGCACATTTCTCTTTGTGGATAATACGAATATAATTTGCAATAAAGAAACTGTAAACAGTGCAATATCGAATGATTTAAATTGGTTCTGAAATAAAATAAAAAAAAATTGTAGTAAACTCAGGAAAAACAGTTTCAATGCATTTCTCCATTTCAAATAATCATTTCTGTACTCGATTGAAAATTAACGATTTGCAATTAACTGATGTTAAGGTAACAACATTTTAGGGTCTCGCAATTCATTCAAACCTCAAATGGAACGTCCATTTAATGAATTGAAAGTGAAATGAAATAAGTAAAATCAGTATTAAGATCACTACCCTACGCGTTCCGAATTATATCAAATTCAGTGAGCCTTCATAGTTCTCGCTGTGTATACTTCGCAAATGCATTTACAAATGTTTGGATGTGTATACTTCAAATGTAAATCATTCCCGCCTGAGATATGGCATAATATTCTGGGGAAACTCATCCTATATCTTCCACACGTTTAGATGACAAGAAAGAATTGTACGAATAATAAACAAGTCCCGCCCAAGTAATTCTTTTAAGCTTCTCTTTTTAAGCCTCACTAGGAATTCTACCATTACTTTGTCTTTTGATTTACGAATCACCCAGATCTCGGGAGACCAGTCGGAGCGGGTTTGTTCTGTCTGATCGGGATGTATTTCGAGTATTTGGACGTCTCTGAAGCCCCACATTCAGTTCGACACCGCATTTCGCATATTAGCGGTGAGGAACACAGGCTTCTTCGGATTGATTGGTTTATTGATGTTTGCGACAGATTCCACGACAAATGACATTCCCCCGTTTGTGTAGTGCGTGTTTTATCCGGGAGTGGTGGTACTCCGACGCGGGTCGTGAGATCCGTCGCTGACCTACATGGCTTGCGAGGGGGGGTTCCCCCCTCCAAGAATCTCCCCCAGCGGTGCACCGCCGAAACGTAACAAACCTTTAAGTTATCGACTGGTCTCCAGACTAATGTGCTACTGTAATGGATGTAACTGTGTGTGTGTGTGTGTGTGTGTGTGTGTGTGTGTGTGTGTGTTGAACGAGAGATATTAGGTCAGAAGAATATATTAGGTGAAATCGTAGGCTTCCGTTGGGAGAGTCATGGGATTGTTCTCAGCTGGGGCGATAACGAATACGGGTATCATTCTTGCCCTGAAGAATTACACGTCAAATCATCGTCATCGCAGATTTTTAACGTGGCGTGATCCGAACAGGGGAGAGCGTTGATATCACTCGGGTTACGGAATTCTACTTCTCTTCCATATTTTTTTAATCTTTTTTAGGTTCCGAATCGTCTCACATTTTATCTGCAAACAAATAATAGGCCTTCTGCTGTTTGCTGATCATTGCAGAATAAACATGCATGAGGGAGAAAACAGAGAAGGCGAATGTGCAGTGTACATGAAATCAGCTACCCTAAACATTTGTTTCAAACATTTTTGTTTTAAATTTCGTAGACATTGCATTGGCGTTACAATTTCTTTATTGCGCATAAATTGGCGTCATTGACCAGTCGCCCTTTCAAACGGGGAATCCCACCTGTCACGCGCACCGGAAACACCTCAGCGACGCGGCACCGGGGACCTGTCAGGACGCGCACGCGCAGGCGTCACGCCAGAGCGCGTCTTGCTGTGCTGGCGAGATGTTGCCTGCACGTTGAACGCACGTGCTCTAGCTTTTTGCCGCGCCCGCGCTCTCGCGGCAGGCGGCGGAACCATGTGAATGCGCACACCACGCGGGCGTATTTGGCAGCGCGCGCAAATCGATATTCTTCGACGACGTCGCTGTGTCCGTCACAGTTATCAAATGTTTCTTTGTCTCGCGCATCTCTAATGCTGTTGCAGACGGCACGAAACCGATCTAGCGACGTATGATTACTTCAGTCTTTGGTCCGCGCGGAGCCGGCTCGCTGACATTGACATTGCTAGTTTCGGGACTCCGACACTGGGAGGGGAGACAAAGTAGTGGGGACGATCAGGGGGCGCCAGGGGGCGCCGCTACCGCTTTCGCGGTTGGGAGTCGAAGCTCCGTTTGCCAACAGAGCAGCGTAGCGTGTGGGCGCTCTGACTTCGGGTTCAACGTTGGTGGCCAACAACGCTGCAGTTTACGATTTGCCGCGTTTTGCTGTCGGAATTCCGGTCGGGACAGCGAGTTTGCTACATTGCGGTTGGTAAGACTCGGATGAGTCGGGAGAGACGAACTGTCACTGAGGCGATAAGGCTTTTGGACTAAACTTATTACGTGTGATGCAGATTGCGGCATTTTCGTAGTTTTCAGGAAATTGTTACAGGGTAGTAACAATGAAGGAAAACGACATACATAATCGTGTATAAGCTACGTGTATTTTTTCTTAAATTCTTTGTTGTAATTAAAATAGCCGAGCTGAGATAAACCGTACTCTTAAGACACGTCATCGTGAACAGATGCATCTAACACGTCCCTCATTGCACTTATCACTATACTATAGGCAATATGAAAGACGAGCAAGACCTGTCAGTCGTAGGGAGGTTCTTCCAAAATCTTAAGAAATGCATTGGCAGTAAACTTATTTTTATAGTACAAAAGAAACCACCTGAGTAGAAAAGAGCGGATTTAACAAAATGTTTATATATGTAGGTACACTTTTCAGTTATTGAAAATATATTCATGTCAAAATTATTTCCATGACACTTATCTATTAGGGTGGCGGATGGAGCGTATTGCATGTCTTGAGTGACTTGACAACGTAGCATCTCAGAGGGTTGTTAGGGTTGACACTCCCCATCAAGGGTGCGGCCAAGTCATGGAAGGGTGTGGCACTGGTCCTTTCCCTCGCCAACCCCTCTATTGCTGACACGCCCAGCCACTTGTTGCGGGTGGACCCCGCCCCGTTGCTGACGGCAACGGGTATTGGCCCGCCCCTCGCGGCCCACCAATAACACCTCCAATTGAATATGAGTGTCTCCGGTATTGATTCTTCGTTTAGTTTTATGAGTACTAAAATCTGTATAGGGATATGGTAATATTCCTATAAACAAAACTATTAATTTTTGACATTTTACGTGTTTGAAGAAGAGCATTTAATTTATTATTGTAGTTGACAGTATATCAGGTTGACCAACCGTAAAGGTCCATCGATGACAGATGTAGTGCAGTAAAATGTGAACGTTACTAGAACATTCGATTTTCATCTGTTGGTATAATACAGAGTCTGGTTTGTGCGTATGTTTTAATTGTTCGTATTTCGAAAATCGATACGCGAAAACTTCGAACGAAAGTAGTTGAGGTTAAGCTCTTGTCATATCTGTTGGTTTGTGAAGAAATTAATTTTTAAGTACCAACAAATCACTCTGCAACCTTCAAAAATAGTTTGTGTTTATTCAGTAAGAAGATACAGACTTGGAGGCAACACCGGTAACATTGCTCAATGTTTTAATTTTTATCTGCATAACTTGTCGTTTTAACTAGATAAATGTAAAATTATTTTTAAAAATTTTGAAAGAAAGCCACTGAAAGTCAGTGTCAAAATAAAAATGTAAATGTCTTTTTTTCCCTTTCTTTTTAATAGGGGAGATAGGTTTGTGCTTACTGTGAATTATTATAAGTGTAATTTTTAAATTTGTGTTTAGGGCCTAGCTCCAGGATTTCCTCCACATTTTGGGCCTAGCAATCCTTTGCAGACTGGAGTCATGGCTCATGTTTCTCCACCTGCTCAGCCAGGTTTGTGTTAATGCTTCAAAATATTCTTGGGTTCACAATTATTTGCTGAGAAAATAGAATGATGTCATAAACTTGTCACTACAGTTGTTTACAAATTATTTCTTTTGTACAGGTCATTCCCCACCACCTCATAGCTTCCATAAAGATGAAAGGACTCAGCGACAATACAACAAATTGAAGAAAAAGCTTGAACAAAAACAAATGCGAGGTGAAACCTTGAGTATAGGCTCCTCTCAAAGTACTCCTCCAGTATCACCTCGCAGAGGTTGGCAAACATTTGTATTATGTAGCAATAAATAAATTAAATTGCTCTTTGGATTGCCATGTAAAAAAGTCTTAAGTGTAGAGACAGTTTTTTATCTTTGTGTAGCTATTGCTGGTCAGAGTAATGATACAATTGCAGATCCTTTATTGAAATGTAAATGTCACATATTAGGTTACTGTTTTATGTTTATATGTTTTAATCTTTTTAATGCTTATAACAATAAGGGATTAGCTTAAGCAAATTCTTGCAAAGCTTCTTTTCTAAATCATTAAATTAATGTTTTTTGTAATTTTTAGGGTGTTTTTCTAATGTTGTTAGTTGGATTCACTTAAGAAACAAAATTAAGATATTATACTGGTATTGTATTTTTCCATTGAGTGGTGTTTATACATGCTTTAAAAAATGTTCTTTTATTGAGGTTGGTATATGGTACTAATATTTTCGTTGTTTTTTTAACACAGAATTAGTTAATGGTATGCGACGAGGTGGCAAGGATCGATTGATAAGTGGTAGGAGTAGTGTTGGTACCTCTGAAGATGGTGAAGAGAGCAGTAGTGTGCAGGATGAAGAAGAAGAGGCCAATCTTATTATAGAACGGCTTTCAATGGTGAAATCACCTGTGGTAAGCAGTTCCCTTTATGATCTGTAGTTGTGTGCTGTCTGTTTTCTTTCATTTGTGTGCTTTCGTGAATTACTCTTTATTTATTATTGTTATTATTATTTTTATTATTGTTATTACTAATTTTTATTATAATTATTAACTATTTTAAAGAGAAGTATGTGTATGTGAAGTATGGAAGAAGTTCTTTGTTTTTGATTCCAAATTTTTATTTACACTCAAGTAAGGTCATGGTTGCTTTCAATATCTGTGCATCAGAGGTATAGAACACATCTTCAAACTGCTCTTATGTAAAATTTACTAAATGTGACATGATGCCTTATTTGTCCAACCCACAGATTTCATATGAAAAAGTGTTTTTAGGTTTGTCAATCAGTGTATTTTTGTGTTCGCTTATTATGTGAAGAAACTTCTACAACTTGAGTGATAATTCACATTTTAGGATTCCTTCTGCATTATAAAATTCATTATAGTATTTTTAAACAGTATTATTGAAATTTCTTTCGTTTGCATTTATATTGAACATGTATGGAAATCATATTTTACAGGTGTCAGAGCTGACTCCACGTAGTGCCTTACTCCATTGGGTGCAGCCTGAGCCGTCAAGTGATGCTTGCATGGAGGGTAAAGTGGCTGACATTGACCTCTCAGAAGCAGGGTTACGTTATGAAGTTCTACTCAGTGATAAGGGCAAGGAAGGCAAATATAAATCTATCTACAATGGAGTTTACTTATCATGCAGGTTGGTTTTTCACAATAGTCAATTAAAAGTTGTTTTCATTTTATTTACAAAGTAAATTTTTATTTGTTACTTGATACTATAGTTTTCATCTTGAGATGGTGTTCTGCACTTTCCAAGATTACTTGTAAGTTGGAATGTAATTTGCAGCAGTGAAACATCTCAGTAAGAAGTACAAAAAAAGGTGCACAATTATTACTCTGCGGCCTTGATCATGAAAATGATTGGAAATAATATCTGTAGTTTTGAAAATAACAGTTTTACTGCAATATGAGGAAATAATCAACATTTTCAGAAATTAAATGGACCGACAAAGAATAGCCTATTTATTGCCTTTTCAAGAGATAAAGATTTTATGCTTGTTAACCATTGTTGTTAGATTGCAAGACTGAACACTGTTCGTGGTGAACCAATTGGTTTGTGATCAGATGCATTGTTTAGCAACAGTGTCCGTTCAAGAATTAAATTTTAATGAATATATTTGCACCAAAGAAACAAGCAATGTTTTTTTATTTCATGTACGACTGAGGAAACCAAAATGTAAAAGTTAAAAATTCAGTTAAAGCGATTATTCATTTTGAATATAATGATAGGAGTTTTGAAATACCATTGAATGATGATAATAGTAATGCGGTTAATGCAATGTTTGGATGCTACTCATACCTTATTTACCTGAAGGATAAGACAAACCCCTAGGTTTGAAGAGTGTTTCTTGAACAATACTTACTATGTATTCTTGCATGAAAAATGCAAATTGTCTAATTTTCTACAATATTATCATAACATTTTGCCTGAGCGATCAGTTTTCTTATTTCTTAAAATTATCAACATTGTTGTCAATATCATTATGCATTACAGTTTCTTTCATTCTCATCCTCTTCCCATAGTAGGTCACCTTCTGTCTTTTTAGCTTTCCCATCCTCCAAAAAAAAGTTTTGCACTTGAAACATTCATTTTTAGTCTCTCATCTGATACCACCTAAGAAGGTGCCCTTCTTTGTTGCCAGATTTTCATCCTGACATGTGTGTCTATAGCCTCTGACTTTTTTAACAACCATTAAATTTAAAATTGCATTTTTCTCACCTGATGTGATGTGATTCAATTGTGAATTGCGATCCCGTACCTCCATTCCATGGGAGATAGTGAAATTACTAGTGTTTAGGAGTCTTTTGTTAAGAATATTTTTAGTATACCATTTCTGTTGTTTGATGTAGAATGTAAACTTCTATCAATGTTTTTAATTTCTGTCTCTTGCAAAATGCAGATTTGTCCTCGTCAGGCCTCCCAAATGGAGAGTCTAGAAAAACTTGTTGAATACCATATAACAAAATCTTGGTAACACTTCATTTTCATGTTGCAATTCACTTACTATAGTGTTAATTTTTTGAGATTTTTCTCTTTACTGATCCAATAAAAAATATAAACCACGTAGCGTATCTGCAATTGATGTTAAAAGATGCTGTAAATATAATTAGTAATTATTGATACACATGGTATTGATCATCTTTGTTATATCAAAATTTGCTTCTCGACCATGAAAGGCAGTGTAAAAAATATGCCAATCAGCAAGGCTTAATCTCCAATTAAATAATAACAAGATATTTAGGGAAGATCTCATCTTATATTTAAGTATACACAGTATTTTCTAAATTATTTCTTGGATTTGTTAGCAATCTGTATTAAACAGAATTCTTATGCACTTTTACCTGCAATGTTCAAAAAATTCTGGATAATTTTTTATTTGAAATGAAATTCTAGTTTTTACCTTTCATGCATGAGATTGCTCTAAATGAGGTTTTGCAATAAAATATTCTGCTATGCATCTCAGATTCAATCCTTTGTTAGATATTATCAATTCAATCAAGAGACGTTCAAAGTTCCAGTTTATGTGTAGTTAAGTACATGAAAATTTTGTAAACTATATATGTAAACAAATGTAAACAATGTCACAAACCGGAGTATTTTTGTATACGTTTACATTACGAATTTAAAAAATTGTAACAAATTTTCATCATCCCCAAAATTGTCCCTTCATTTTAAATCCAAATCTTTTATTTGACTGACATTTTGTTATCAATAGACCAGTGGTGGCTCCATGGGGTAGGCAACCTGTTTACCCAGATGAATGTGTTCCAATTTAATACATTTCATAATAATAAAGAAATTAAATGAATCGTATAATTTTAATATGGTTTAAGTGGTATTCATCTAGAAATGTATAATGAACATTTCTTTATTGTGGCAAAAACCATATTTTTGGTTCAAGCTTTTTCTATTAGCCTGTGCGCCAAGTAGTCTGTATGATCTCTTCCGCAGAGACAAACGCCTGCTTCCATCTCTCAGGGTAGTAGCACTCGGGCACTGCCTCGCTTCGACCTGTATTCTAAAAAAAGGCTCCGTAGTGAGCTTAGAGCAGTAACATGCTGTGTCCATACTTGATGCATATGTGTTGTGTGTTGACCAGCAAATTCTCTTACTGCCTACCTGCACGGAAGACTCTGATTTCCATGCATTTCCATGCAAGCCACTTAGGACGAGTGTTTACCATTTTGTTGATAAGTTAAGAAGTAGAGAAAGTGATTGTTATTTAGGAAGTATTCATTTTTTCATTTTAAATTGGTATTCTGCGGATTATCAGTGTTACTTGATTTTGTTATAATTAAGTCGTATTTTATATTAGAATTATGACATACACTTTTTTAGGATCTGAATATCTTAAAGTCACATCTGTGTGTGCTTCATAGAAGTAATGCTTGGGAATATAATGGTATCAGTGAGACAGTTGTTTTAAATAAATCGAATAAAATAACAAAAAAATTGGATTGAGGTGGGAGATGGCCTCCATCCCCTTCCTGCTTTTGCGTAATCTGTTTTGCCTAGCCTAAACATTAGTTCATGAGCTGACACTGTTCGAGACTCAAGAACAAACAAATATTTGAATTTTAAGTTTTGAAAATATAAAATTAGTTTATTAAAGAAAACAATTTTTATGAGGTCCTTTTAAGTTTCCTTCCTGGTTTTTGAAAATATTCTTTTTTATCAATTTAATGAAACTATTATTTTAGGATTGTAACCTTTTGTCACACAATAATATATATGTTTGTGCTCATTTTTGCCTTTCAAGTTTGCTAAAGCCTTGAAGAGAGAAAAAAGGAATATTTAATCAAAATGGTCATTAATTATCAAATCATAGACATATTATTTATCAATGATGCGGAAAGAAAAAGAAAACTGAATACATTTCAATCTCTTCTATATCATTGAGAAGAAGGACTTGGAGAGAAAGTCAGTTTAAATTGTATGGATTTTCAAAAATGACCTATCTAAAATTTTTCAAACATTTTGCTCAGTATTATATACATTACAGATGTAGTTTTTGTAGGTAATTATTTAATATTTAATGCATTTATATGAACATACATATTTCAAATTATCTATAATGAGGTTTCTCTAGGGTTCGATTCCTAACGATGGCAAGTTTTCAACTGTAGCTATATAGCTATGTTGAAATCACCTGTTGTTAGGAGAAGTCTAGGGGCTGGAGTGATAATGATGATTCTGATTGACACATTTTCATGATTTTTCTGCTTCAAATCAGACGAATGCTGGGGCAGAACCTTAATATCTACAAAGAGGCCATGAGCCACACACAATCTTTTTGTCCTCATTCTCGTGTACTCTTCTCTTACTCAAACATGCTTACAATAACATGCACTGTATGTCTGGAGCTTGGAGCTTGTCTCTGCTGGGGCCATGGCAGAGACACCAGGAGGTTGGCGGAGACAGATGCCAGGAGGGTAACTTGTAGGTCGGCTGCAGATTTCACATTGTATGAGGGGAAGACAAAATAATAAATAAATCTATCAATTAACTTTTCAAAGACCAAATAACAAATAAAATGTGAAATATGTGTATTTTTAAAGAGATTCAGTATCATTAATATTAGTATTAAGGCAAGAATACTTAACCATCTTGCTAATTTAGAAGATCCCTAAATATTGTTTTCTTCAACATTTTTTTGAAAGGTGCGAATTTGGAAAAAATTTGGTGCGAATTTGGAAAAAAAAAATGTTAATAGGTGTTCAAAAATCAAAATTCAAAATTCACTTACCTTTCAAAAAATGTTAATGGGTATAGAAGAAAACAACAAGAAAGTGTAAAAGCTGAAGGACATTTCAAGCATTGTTACCTAAGTCACTAATTATGTTGAATATCATTCACATACATAGATGCACTGGTAAGCATATATAATTGGCTTTGGATTCAACCAAAAAGTCAATTTTCCTTGTAAAGTTGGGTTCTAACGAATGGACATAGAGTGCTGTGTTTCAAGTAATTTGATGAAGAAAGTTTTGCACAAAATTGCAAAAATATTAGAAACATGTTATTTCTGTTATCTTTTTTAAATGTTATATTTCTCTTGCAGATTGTACAAGAAGGTTCATGCCCTGATTAGCAAAAAAAAGGTTTAAGTGTTCGAAAGGTTTTGGCTTAAAGTTTATTTTTTGTCACCTTTTTATTTGCTTTTTTATTCACATGGATTAATGGGATATGATTAGTTCCTCATAAATGTGCTTGTTATTTTAAATATTTTCTTGTACATTTTATGAAAGTGTGTGTAAGTTCTGGTTATTATTTTTATTTAAAGATAATTTATGTGCTGATCTAGAGCTGTAATGTAATTGTGTACCTATATAAGGATATAACAACCACCACTAGTATAATTTTAATCAGTTTTCAGGTATTGCAAAATTTAATTAGAATTTTAAAGTTTTGTGATTATTGGAAAAAATATAAAAGCTTGTTGTGAAGAAAAGGTTTTATTTACATTATTTTCAATTTATTTGTAATTATAAAGGGGAATTTATCTTCAGTGTTGAAGTACACTGAAGTGTAGATATTACTCACTTCTCTATTAATACTCCTGTGTCTCACTTTGTGCAAATTGTATGAATGTGCAGGATCCAGGATCTTCGACCAGGAACAGAATATTCTGTGTGTCTGCAAGTGCACTGTGATGAACTTACTGGATCTGCTTCAGAACCTACAACATTTGTTACACCTCCCTGTGAACCAGATACTCCACTTCCCCCGAAAATGTTTTCAAGGAGCAGAACACACTTATCTCTGAGGTACATATTAACTATTGAGTTTTAGTTGGTGTTGTGACACGTTTGAAAGTTGTGCATCTTGCCTGAAAAATGCATAATTCCATTTTCTGATTGCAAGTTGAAATTTTGTTTATGTTATTATTTTACTTGCCAATGCTTTCATTCAGCAATTTGATGTGTATTTGTAATTTCAGGTGGAATGCTCCTGTAGACAATGGATCACAAATTACTCAATATATCCTAGAGTTTGATGAAGGGAAAGGGAAAGATTTTGTGGAAGTTTACAAAAATAGAGGAAAACAGCATAAAGTCATGAAGCTTCAAGATTCAACATGTTATCGATTCCGTTTGGCTGCTGTGAATGAATGTGGAAAGAGGTACATATCTTTTCCTTCTTTATATTATTTTTAAGGTTTTAAACTCTCATTATTTAGCACATAATGTCAATCCTTTTTATGTCTGTATTTCTAAAAGGAAATGTTCATAGAAGTTAATTTTGTTGCCCAAAAATAAATTGTATTTTCAGTGAGTGTACATTAAATGGATAACACAAGAGTGAACATAAAGTGCCATTCTTGTTGTAAAAGTAGCTTTATTTTGGTCCTCCGATATGTTGTTCTTGCCTTTCTAGGCTCTCCTGAAAGATTTGCATGTTGGATTGGTGTTTGTTTTTCATATGATGCCGCTTAAGAATATTCCCTTCCGAATCACCAGCTTTTCTTTCTGATGAGCTCTTGCTCATGACTAAGCTGCAAATTTATGGGCACAAAAATCTGTAGAAAGAGGCAGGCAAAATAGGGATTTAAAAATGTAAAATTGGCATTTAAAAAGGCACTATAAATTTTTCTTATTCCTATTTATGTACTTGTGAAGAACGTTTCTAAAGGAAATATAATATAGTTACCTTCATGGAATGTTTGCTTTCATCATTGTTCTCACTAATCCTCATAGATATCCTTTCTGTTATTGTTGGACAATTCGGACCAAACAAGCTGAATTGTGGTAGCTACCTTTTTGCTTTTCATTCAATGCAAGTTGGTACTCTAATGTGCTGTGCACATGCTGTATGATCTTTTTCCTCACATTTAATTTAAACATAAATGAAAACATTGTATGATTATTTTAATGGACACGCTTTTAATTGCATAACACAAATGTTGTAAGTAGTAGTGTTACACCACATACTTGCTTGCATTACATCTACAAAAATATTTCAAAATTTTCAATTTTCAAAAATACAGAGTTGAACAAAAATGAGATATGTGCTATTCCTTTAAGCATCCTTTGTTCTATGTGTGAAAAATACCCGAAGAAAAATATTTGTAGCGTTTTTGAGATTTTTGTTTATAATTTGTGTTAATTTCAAACAGAAATTCCGCAAAACCCACTTGTTAAAAACAGATATGTGTACTTTAAAAAAAAAGGTTTTAAAGATCTGAGTTTTCAGAACAGATTTCTACTAAAATCTCTCTATTCAATATTGTACTTTTGCAATGTTACTTTCTGCAATTTTTGAAAATACCGAGAAATTAGGAAAAGTGGGACTTGCACCAATTTTTATACCATGCTTTCATGTGTGCAAAGGGAAAATTTTAAGAAAAAATGTTTAAAAATTCAAAGCAAAAAATAGCTTGACCACTACTAGTGATGTTACATGTATTTTAAAATACAATATTGTATGAAATATGCACACTGTGACATATGTGTATGAAATGTGCACGCAGTGAAACAGGATTATCGATAGTTGTTAGTTATCTTTGAACTCTTCAGGTTAAAAATTGGAAAAAATTACAATTTTTAAAATTGTTAATTAAAGATAATTGCATTTTAAACAATAAGTGTGAAAGAAGGCAACATTTGAGCCGTTAAACACGAAATTGGCATTTATTAGTGATAAGGCATTTATAAGCACTATAAAATTCACGTATAATACTCCTAATGCCTCATAATGATTAAGTAATCTAAAAGGTTGTGTTTTCCATTGAAGGTACAAAGTAGGCAAATAGGCAAAAATTGGCAGCTTCTTAATGACCTGATTCTCAAACAGTTCTTTCCTTTTCTTTAATGCAATATACTTGAAATGCACATAATTTAAAATTCAAGCAATAGAGTTGTTCGAAATGCATATGAGAGTGTCAAGTTTCCAAGTTTGTTAAATTTTTGCTTAAAAAATATTTATTTTATCATTCTGTCTCTGTGGCTGCATGTGGATTGCATACTTCGTCCAGTGTGAATGTGTTCATTTCCATCTCTTGCAAAATACATATTTGCATTCACTACACATTGAACTGAGAGCCATATGGCTTTGTCAGCACAATGTGTAACAAAACCTCAGCAACAATTTTTATTATTTTTGACATTACGATGCACTTGCTACAATGCTTGTTTGTTGGATATTCTCTCATTAACTCCATTTAAAAATATTAGTTTGTAGTGCCCAGCAAATTCAATGTGGATACCAAGAATACATCTGTGAATGTAATTAAGTATTATAGATATGCAAGATATTTATTTTTTTAAATTTATTTTATTTTTGTTTTTTTGCAGTACATACTCTGATGTGGTGCAATTCTCCACATCTGGTAGTCCTCCTGCTCAACCAGCAGCTCCTGTACTAAAGGAAGCATCAGTAACAAGTCTGCATTTGGCCTGGCAAAGGCGGCCTAATGATGAAGAATTTACTCTACAGATGGACGATATGGAGTCCGGCCATGGTTTCCTTCCCATATACTCTGGAAAGGAACAGTACTACATAAGAGACGGCCTGCACAGGCATACACTATACAAGTTTCGGGTAAGTCCATAGTAGATTTTTGTTGTTATGCAGTGGTATTTCAGTTTTTTCAAAGAAGAAGAAGAAGAAGAAAAAGAAAAAAAAAGAAAGAGAGGGAAAAAAACCTAATCATTTTCTGAAGTGCATTCATGTAAAAATATTCACAATTTAGAAATGCTAGTGGAAATAATTACCTTTATTGATGACAAAGAAAATGTTCTTAAAATATGTATAAATTAAAGAATCACGGTTAAAGAATTATCATTCAAGAATCATGATGACATCTCTCTATTCCTCTCAACCACATTATGATGTTGCTAGTTTGTAACATCACAATATTCTTTTGCTCATTTAAAATACATTTCCCATTTGCTTAAAACAGGGATATGTAAAATTTTAGTATTTTCAAATTTATAATTATCTTTGAGTGGGTTTTGCAGGCTTATCTGATGTTTTGTTGTAGCTTCGGGCTGTAAATGAGGAGGGTTCTTCCCAGTGGTCAGATGAAGTGTGTTACCGTACTCTTCCTGGTAGACCTGCTGCTCCTCCTAGGCCTAGCCTCAAGGGTCGAATTTTCTCCCAAGGCTTTAAGGTGAAGTGGGAACCACCCTCAGACAGGGGTGGGGCAGACATCACCACTTACGTTTTGGAAATGAGGCACAGCGGACGGGGTAAGTTGTGAATGATGTGACAAGTTTAAGAATTTTCCACCAAGCGTTTAAAGGATTTATGTGGTTGAAGTCCACGATTTTTTGGCAGCTTCAGGCAGCCATAACATTTTTTAACCATCCTTTTGTTATTCACAATGTTAGCAATATTATTTCAGCACAATAACAAATTAATCTCGTTCACATAGTTTTACTGCAACTTAATAACCTGTTGCTTATTGTGGAGATCAGAATTATTCATTGTTTGTGATAATTTAGTGGAGAAAATTGCTTGTTAAATATATAACGGTTATATATTTTAACTTTATTTTGTACTCTTCTTCAGGGCTTCAGTTTCTGTAGGCAATTTCGAGTCAAGAAAATTCTGCATTTTCATGCAATCAGGATTCATTGCAATTGATTAATACTTATTTCGATGTAATGAGTTTAAATAAATATAATAATTTTAAATGTTTTTGAACATTACAGGGAAGTAAGTTAATTTGTACACTGTATGAAATTAGTATGAATATGGTATCCTTGATAGTTTCTTAATACTATAGCTTATCTAGTAGAAATATGAATAGTTATTTATTTTTTATCAAAACTTATTTTATTTTATGTTTGACATACTGGGAGAGGTGGCTTAGGGTGTCAACTGATGTCACAGCAGTGTCTCTGACTGGGTGGTTCTAAGTTTGAGTCCTGACTGTGGCAGGATTCTTGACACTGGCTAGGTAGCGAGATCAAATTCAGTTGCTGTCTAGAGGAGAATTCTAGAGGCTGGCTGCTCTTATTGTTAGTTTTCTGTGGTTTCTCTGATCAATACCAGGCAAATGCCGGAGCTGTGCCCTAACAAACTGGCCATAGATCACACACAATATTTTCTTCTTCTTCTCATCCCTTACTTACACACACTTACACTTAATACACTAGTCTACCACACTTGTCAGGAGACAGGTCGCGAGCTTAGAGCTTGTCCTGCCTGGGGTGCTGCCTCGCTGGTGGGAGATACCTGGTTGAGAAAACCCTGCTTGCCACTGGGAAGGTTGGTGCCGAATCTCACAACAGGGGAAGATCACCACCACCTCTTGAGGACAAACCTGCACTACTCTTTTGGTACTAATGACCTTAGCCATTGATGGACTTGAAATCACTAATCAATCAATCATTTGACTTACTGTTGGCATTTCTATTTTTTTATATTCTAGTTTGCCACACCTTTTTGACTTAATTATTCTTCCTCCATTATCATAACGATTCAAGCTTAATTCCTTTGATTTTTTTAGGTTGGTTTTTAACTGCAAGGTCACGTACCGACCACTGTGATAGTATTACTTTAAGATAACTGAAGAGGAACACAACACATAAGGACATGATCAACCAACACACAAAACAAACACACTCACCACACTACAAACAACACGACCAAACACAACAAACACACACAACAACACACCACACAACAAACACCACACACACAACACAACCAAACACACATACACAACAAAACACCATCACCACAACAAAACCACCACACACAACAACAACACACACACACAACACACACACACAACAAACACCACAACACACAACAAAACACACACACACACCACAACAAACACACACACACACAACAAACACACACACACACAACAAACACACACACACACACACAACACACACACACACACACAACAAACACACACACAACAAACACACACACAACAAACACACACACAACAAACACACACACACACACACTCGCACCACACACTCGCACCACACACTCGCACCACACACTCGCACCACACACTCGCACCACACACACACACTCGCACACCACACACACTCGCAACCACACACTCACACCAACTACACTCACACACATGCACACGCACAGCAATTTTTCTTCTTTCAATTGAATTTTTAACAATGAAAATCAACATTTTACATTTCTCTTTTAGAATAAAATGTTTCTTATATTTCTCTTACATTGGCTTACTTGGACAAAAAATTATTTTTTTTCCTTTTCTCTGATTGATTTTGCTTATTTTACATAGGGTTTTCCTAACATGGTTGTGAATCTAAAGTGAAATGAATTGATTTGTAAAATTTCAGCTTTTGAAGAAGTCTATCGAGGGCCCGACACTGAATACATATGTGACCGACTAATGCCTGGTACAACTTACGATTTGCGAGTGTCCTGTATCAGTGCTGGTGGCCACAGTGAGAGATCAGACATATGTCATATCACCACTGAACCTGTTTGCCCAAGGCAGTGTCCACCTCCTAGGGCTCATGGTAAACCGAGAGCAACTTCTTTGGCCTTAAAATGGGGTGAGTTGTTTCTGGAGTACTTGGATGGAGAGTTTTTAATAGCGTCCACTTCCATTGTGTCAAAAATGATGAGAGTATTCGATATCAAAATTTTTGCAATTCATTTTATTCTTTTGAATAATAGATAAACTACATAATACTTCTAACTTTATCTTCCTATTCTGTAATACAGAGACGAAAAGTAATTGAATCACCTGTTCAATACGATCTTCAGTTTTTGGTGGTTAAATGTATTTTTTTAAAGCTTTAACTTAACACACTCATCTGGATTATTAGTGATGTTCCAAAAATGAATAAGATTGGTGAGGCATGCAATTTTTTACACAAAAATCAGGACAGCTGGATGAATATCACACATACCTCTGTCAGATTAAAAGCTTTAGAGATGAAATGGCTAAACATGACCCAAGCTTTTGGGCTAAACATGACAGGAGTTAGATCTAGTTGCACCATTCAAGGTATCTTTAACATATTTTAATATTGAAACTACTTTACATTATATTAACATTATTAAACTTTTCAAAATAATGGCTGAAAATTTATTCTTAAAATTGTTTGTTTGAATAGAAGAAAGTGTAATTTTATGTATGGTATACTTCCATTTTTCATTAGAACCTCTGACATTTTGATAATTGCAAAATTGCATTTTTAAAACACTGAGGTTTACATTTGGAAGATAATTACTGCTTTCTATTTAACAAGTATTCATGATTTTTGCTGAAAATGGAATGGTAATGAGCTTCAGATGTTTTATTATTTCTATTATTAACCAGTTTTACGGTATAAACACAAAATTTTAATAAAAACTTAAAATTAAGGGAATGAACACTAATCAGCCAACATTTACCCATTTCTTCACATCATTTGGTTGTATCAAATACTTCTTCAAGTGAATCTTGGTCTAGCCAAACAAGAATGTGAGTATGAATTTAAAGTTATGGAAGTGAAGATAGGAAGTTTTTTAAGTTTGAAGATTGATTATTTTGAATTGTAAAGAGTAGTGACTATATGAACACTATGTCCTGCAATAATACGAAATGTCTCTTTTTAAAGAAAATTTCAGTGATTTTAATTAGAAGTGAAGCTTTACATTTTTAAATTCAGGTTAGACCTTTTCCGTTATATGTATAGAAATCCTTTATGTAAATGTTTATGGAAAAATTTCGTTCACCAGAACTGAGTCAGTTCTCAACAATGTGAACAGATGAATGCATGATACAAATCAGTCAACATTTACGTGGTACATTTAATAATTTGCTTTACACAAAATGGACATATTATTACTACAATTTAATAGTAATACTGTTATCATATTACTAATTCATTAGTGCTCTATTGGGAGCTGCTGCCCCCAAACCCCTGCTAATCCACAATTCTACTACTTCAATTGTTTACTCTTAAAAATTCATTTAACACCTCGCTAATTACTGCTTTGATGATGACTGAGACCCAAATTCAGCATTGACAATTACTCATTAAATAAGAAAGTTACACAACATATAGTGCCAACAAAGTCATAAAACTATTCATTCAACAATTTTCAAAACAAATATTAAATTAAAAATTTCATTTCAAAACTCACTAATTCATGCTTTAATTATGATGGAGCAAAATTCTGGAATACTGTTTAATATTTCATTAAATAAATCCTTTCCTTTGTTTTTCTTCTGCCACATAAATTAACATAAATAAGAACCCAACTTTGCATGATGAGTTCCATATTACACCTTTGACTCCATGCATGAAAGATATTCTTGTCTCAGGTCCTCCAGAATATGATGGTGGTGCACCGATCCAAGAATTTGAGGTAATGATGACCTCTCCTGACCTAACACGTGAGGTTGTTTTCAAAGGTAATTCTGTGGAATGTGCTGTCACTGATCTGTCACCTGGGCAGGTGTATGTCTTCCAAGTGCGAGCTTTTAATAGGGCTGGGGTGAGTTGTGGATTTATTTATTTATTTCCACAAATTCTATTTTAGTTTTATAATACAAATACACGTTAATAATTGTGCCTCAGGCTGGGCCCTGGTCTGAGAAGTCTGAGATTGTGAGCGGTGCAGCCCCTCCAAATACACCTGAAGCACCTGTTGCACAGTGCCGTTCAGCACACACTGTCCTCGTGCAGTGGGAAGAGCCACCAAACAATGGCGCCATAGTGACCGATTATAGACTGGAGATGAGCTCAAGTGAAGAGGAACAGGACTACAACACAGTTTTTCATGGCCTGGCTACCTCCTATGAAGCCAAAGGGCTCACACCTGCCATGCCATATTACTTCCGAGTACAGGTAACATTCTCTTTCGTGTCACAAGGTTGGACTGATTTCCATTAGCCGGTTAAATTCTTTAGCCTTCTTTTTTTCTTCATTTTCTTTTTCTTTTTCCTCCACCTTCTCTTCTATTTGTTCTTTCCTCTTTTTAATCATCTTCTCTCGCTGCAGCATCACTTTCTTAATAATTTTGTTTCTTTGTCCTTTCCTCCTTTTTCATATGTATTATTTTCCTCATAATCTTCTTTTTCTCATGTCATTGTTTTTTCTTCTCTTTTTCATTTATCTAATTTTGGTTGTGTCCATTTGTGTGTCACTGTTAACTCAAATTGTGTTGAATTTTCTTATTCATCTCTGCTAAAGAGTGTAAAAATGTATTTTGTGGACAATTATTGAAAAATTAAAAATGTTTTATGATTTTTCTTAGTTATGGATTTTGAATCAAATTCATGATTTTAGGCTAGTAATAGTGCTGCGTTGGCAGTGCTATATCTCCATCTAGTATGGTATTAACACCTCCTGCAACACCTGCAGTTGTCACCAATGTTCGGTACACTGCAACTCATACCAGCCTTATATTGATGTGGAATGAACCAACAGCTAATGGTAGTCCTATTCTTCATTACAATATTGAAATTGGTGGAGATCGCATTGAGAGCTCAGCTGGACCTGATTTGCAACATGCTGTGGAAAGTCTTCAGCCAGACACAACATACAAGTAAATATTCAGTACTTCATTAATAATTAAGAATTCATCATGATGGTTCAAATAAATGTCAACCTTTGAATTTTCCACCATTGAAAATAAAATGTGAATGATAATTCTTTAATTATGCAGCTGTGTATAAAATGAATTCAGCATTGTTCAGTCAATCTTGTGGATGCATTTGGTAATTAACCCTTTGACTGCTCTAAACATGTCACAGAAAATTTTTGTGTCTGAGGGCCTTTGATATGTTGTCACGTGCTGTCCAGCTGTCGCTAGGACTCTTTGGATGAGTACAGACGCAGGGCCATTTACATTCTTATAATGCCTTTTACGAGGGCTGAATTATTCCTGGGATGATTTTAGCGGTACCTTTGTGTTGTTCAGCACATTAACTTCACATATGTCTTTCTGGTTCACTGGTCTCGCATTTCTATGAGTTGGTTTGTGGTTTGCTACAAATGTTTATTGTCTGGTTCAGTGCCCTCTACGTATGAATGATCGAAGTTGGTTTCTTAAATTCAAAATACATCACTAGAGAGAGCTTTATGAAGGGTTGGAAAGTCTCTCACTAGGGACTCCCAAAGGGTCACAAAAAGAAATTAATGGTCTCACTTTCCTATTGCTGTTTACGTTTCAATTCTGCTAAATGCTGGATCCCTTTAAGTCTCGTTAGGTCATACCTAACTCTTGTTTTCTTTAGTCGTTTGTCACATGTCTTTTAGTGGTTGAGTTGTTCAAAGTTTTCTCTGTATCTGTCTTCGGTTATGATTGGATTTGCTACATAATCTCTCAGTTACTGCAGGCTGACTGAGCTAAGCCTGACCGGAGACATCAGCACGCAGCAGTGCTCATGGGTGATATGTATTGCGCACACCAGTGACTCACTCTATGCACGGCCAGAGCAGTCAAAGGGTTGATTTCCCTTTTTTGTATAATATTTAATTTTTTGTTTGTTTTCTTTTAATATTTTTATTTTTTTAATGTGAAGATGCAGAGTCCAGGCTGTGAATGGTGTTGGACCTGGACCTTTTTCTGCCCCAATGAAGGCTGTAACTCCAGCTTTGCCGCCAGCTGCTCCAAGGTTGGAGTGTGTTGGTGTAGGTCACAATTACCTAAAATTAAAATGGGGTGATGGTCGAAATCCTAATTTTACTCAGTATCACCTGGAAATGCAGGCCCCATGGTCGAAAGAGTAAGTATTTACCCACCTGTTGAATGTATTCAGTAGTTCCCACACTCATTCTAATATTTTCCCATGTTTGCTTGATATAACATATTAAAACTTTTACTGTATCCACAGAAATATTTTCCTGGCTTTTATTTGAGTGTAAGTGACAGCGTTATTGAATTGATTTTTATCTTTTTGTTTCCCCAAAATAATAGGAATGTATAATAATTATTAATGCCCAATTACTAATGTCTGAAGTTCATACTTACGTCACTATACTAACATTCTTCATGCAGGTTAAGGAATTGTCCTATACAGACCTACATTATTTTGAAAATCTGTTCTCATAACTATACTCTGGGTTGCATATACTTTGGGTTGCAGGGTTGTTTAAGAATCTGAAAAAAATATACGTTATATTCCATGTTATGAGACACATTCTAGGAAGGGAAATGAGACATTACTCAAACGTTGTCATATCAAAAATCAATTTCAAATATTTGAATTCAGTGCCAAAATTGGTTGACAAAAATGCCTTTAAATTCAGCTATTTTCTCCTGATGCTACATTTTTTTTCTGTCTGATACATGCAATAGAAGCTGAAAAAAATTAAAATGTGAAAAACATGCATTGTATCTCTGCATCCGAATGCCCTAGGAGGCTGATGTTTTGGGATTTTTGCCATTTTTTATTCTCTTTCATATGAGTTTTGCAATTATTGATTTAGTTTGGGGGCACTTGTCACCTCCTTATTCTGATATATCCTTTTTTATTGTAGTTTTGATGAAGTTTTCTTATTTATGACCTATACAGTGAAGAACCAGATAAATATTAAGTTTTAATGGGTCAAGAATCACTTAATGTATTTGGTTAATGTTAACTGATTGTGTGTTCACAGATTCCAAACTGTTTATCAGGGAAATGGCCACACCTACAAAGTAGGATGCAAGGTGAGATTACAAGAACTCACTACCTTCCGATTTCGTATCTGCGCTGCCAATGATGATGGACAGGGTGATTGGTCTGAACCTGTGGAATACTCTACTTGCATTGCACTTCCTCCCTCTCTCAAAGGTGAATTTTAGTCCTATATTTTCTTCTTAACTTTCTTGTTTCATTTATATTGACAGTTCGTTAATAGATAATTACGTGCTATTTTTCTAGCCCCCAGAATCTGTGAAATTCAGCAACGTTCTTGCGTAGTCGAGTGGGCTCCTTGCAAACCCATTGGTTCAGACCCTCTTCAGTATCAGGTGCAGCTAGCTCGAGTGCGTGATCAAGATTACAAGCAGGTACAGTTACTCCTTAAAATAAGTGATATGCAACCTCTGATTTTTATTAAAAATGGTACTATAATTAGATGTTGATGTGACACTTGAGCATTAGGATCCTTCAGAACTTGGAAAATATGCACACACACACCCACACCACAGTGCTATCTTAGCTGGTTTAACTGAACACTTGCAAAAGCTACTTAGAATGTTAGGTAATTTTATTAAATGTTAGAGGAAATAACTTTTAAAAGAAAATTGTAAATTGTATTTTGAATGTTACATATCATCATCTTTGATAATTTAGTAAAACTTCTTGCTTTGCTTTAAATACATGAAATATCTAATTTTCACAATTTTGTAGGAATAAAATGTGTTCTGTAGATCATTCAAAATACTGTTAAAGTTATTCCAAATATAAAACTGTTTAAATGCTAATTACTAGACTTACTAAGACCGAATTTTCATGCAGTAAAACTCTCTAAAACATGCAATAAAAACACAAAATGTGCAAAAACCAGCAATTTAAAGATCAAAACTTTGCAAAACAGGCTTATGTAGTCTTAGAAATTTCAGTTAATCCACTTATGAGCTTATTTTATGTTTTGAATGTTACATTTAAGGGGAATGAAATTTTATGAGAAATGAGTTAGTGTTTATATTTTAATTAAATTTGTATGTATTGTTTAAACAACCCATATTTGACATTTTAAATATTCGCAAACAAAATTAAGTTAGCCTAAAAATACAAAAATGTAAATACAATAATTCAAAAATACAAAATACCTTCAGAATTAGAAAATAATTATGTTATAAAGGAAATGTTAATTGTTTTCATTATAATTTACAATTATGTATATTTCCAAATTATTTTCTGACGAATTATTATATCTTCTATCAACTAATAGGTTACAGACAGGAAAATCTTCTTTCCATATTTAAGCTTGACTGTGTGCTGAGAATCACTCTCACGTACGTGTGCACACACCTGAAAGCAGTCAAAACTCTGTTTATCCTCTCTTTTATTTCTCTGGACAATATCTGTTCAGAGAAATTTGATGAACCCAGTACACCTTGCCATTAAGCTTTGCGCTTGGACATAGGGTCAAATGTGACTTGTGCATGCTCGATCTCATATTGTAAAATTAAACAAAGAAGAACAAAACAGATGTATGATCTATATTGATATTTGTATTCATATATATTTGATTGTGTTATTACACTATTATCTTAGTGCACGTACCAACTCGGTTCTCATATTCAGTAGGACACAGCTAATGTCATGCGACAAGAACTCTCCAAAGAAGAAGCCTTGGAGAAAGCCTTATGAAACAGTAACTTTTTTGATATTCGTAGTATGTAAAGGACTGTTGTATTCCGCATAAAACTACTCTGTTATTACACTATTTGTGAAGACTCTTTGTTAAAATATTTTGTTCATTGTCATGTCATGTTAGAGTGTTTTATTTGTTGTTCTTGAGCAATATGCATGCTATATTTGGGAAACCATATTTTGTGGTTTGTTCAGAAGCATGTTTGCTGCTGCTGATCGCTAGTGTATGATTATGTTAATTTTGTTTCAGGTGTATCGAGGGAGTGACACAAAAGCACACCTGACTGATCTTGATCCAGGCACTGAGTACCATGTAAGAGTTTGTCCAATTCGACAGGCAGCCTCAGGAGATTTGATGGGGGCTTACTCACCTCCTGGCAGCTTTTCTACAACTGCTTTAGAACCTACAGTCAGTCCCAGTATGCGTAACACCTCTTCCCAGGTAAAGTTTATGTTGTATCATTTTTATGTGATAAAATGTTCATAATAATTAAAGAATGTACATTTTCTACTTCTTAAATTGTTAAGCATGGGTGATACATTTTAATATGAAGATGGAGATTTGTAGTGTACCAACAATGCAGCATTATCCAATTATAACAATACATATGTGCCCTCACGAACATCATGGGTATCCTTACGAGGCAATTTTAAATGTTTATTTTTTGGAACCTTGAAGCAAGTATCAAACATTGTATAGTATGGTGAAGCTCTTATAGAAATAATATATTCCACTCAAACAATGTTGCAAGTGAACCTTGTAAACATTGTTGTGGAGTCTGCTCATCTACAGCCATTTACATACAATACTCTTGCAGGTGTACGCTCGTACTGCAAGAAAATGCTAAATTGTGAGCTTACTGAACAACTTAAATGATAAAAGAATTTTCTGTTTATGTATATGCCTAGAATCATTTCTTTGAATTTCACTTGAAAGTATGTTGTTGGTAATCTACTTATTTTTCATATAATTATTTTTTCATCATTAATAATTTGTTTTTCTTTAGTAGACATTACCAAATACTAAAGTTTGGCGTAATTATTTTAATAAGTAATTTTCCTCGTAAAATAATGTATGTTATGGGATACCTTACATACTATTTTAATTTATGAACTCCTCCATTCTGCATTAAAACTAAAATTAAGATGACATGTACCTTTATTACGTTTGGTGCCATTGTTCAAGTCATTTGCTAAAAAAAACTTGCAAAAGCAAATAAATTATGCAATCATTATTTTATTTCAGCAATCTATGAATCATACAAACAAAAAACATTTCAAGTATGAGAAAAATGTAATTACAAATGACAAAAGAGAAATATAAATTAATGACAAAAAATGCAACTCCTCCAATTCAGAATTTCTCAGGAATGACTCAAAGTCAGATTTCCCTTGGAGTTCATTGTGTTGGAGTAATATATTACTGTAGCTCTCTATTGATCTTTAGAAACATTTATTTGCATTATAATTTGTGGTATTTTACTTGCAGGCTATAGAGAGGAAACCCTTGACAGATCAACAGTGGGCTGCTATAATTGTTGCTGGATTTACGATCTTTGCTCTGATGATTGCTATGGTTGTTCAACAAGTAGTACTCTGGAGCAAACGCAGTCAGCCTGATTCATGAGATTTGGGCAGGTAGATGCAGAGCCTCAAGAGTGGGCACTATGCCCTTTTTTGGCCAGTTAGCTGGCCCTTGTCATCTGGGCACAACACAACGCTGTGCACTGGCCTACTGCTCCAGTTCTGGCTGTTGGCACTCACCTTGGTCTCCTCTGAATTCCCCTACTACTTTTAAAGAAATTTCTGTGGACCATTTTATAGCATTAACTTCCTGCTTTCCAACCAGAGCTCTCTTGGAAGCTGAAGTGCCACTCCAGGTTTTGGATGGTTTGGCCCACCAGGTGAAGATTTAAGAGATATTGGCATTTATATTGTTTCTTCGTTATTGATATACTTCAAATATATTCAGTTGTTGGAGTATAATGTATGTTATTAAACTTTTCGGATCTGTGGGAATTTTATTACTTATTCTTTTATCGTGAATAAGTTGTTGCAAATGCAGCTAGTTGGGGTGATATGCTTTTAAAGACTAATTTTATGCACTGTAAAATACAGCTGTGACATGCAACTGTGGGTTGTATAATCAGGCTCCAAAGTTATTTGTGTACCTTCTTGTTGGTAGTTTCAAGTCCTGAAAATGGGCATTTGTTGTCTATGTCCTAGCACAATGTTTATTTCACTGATAAAATGTAGTGTCATTATATCCTGGAGTCTCAGACTCAGGGTGGGTGTCTTTATGGTATGTGCAGATGCAGCTCCATAATTTGTGTTGTATTAACAAGCCAGTTAATGGCAACAAATTGACACTTGAATTATGAGAAAAATGCTCTAAGCCGGATGTAATTCTGTGTGCAAAGATGCTCAGGACTCTACTATGAATCATTCTCTAATTCTTGTCATGCACCTTAGGTGTGGAGCCTTACTGTTAAGCTGAAGTATTGGTTGCACATGCCCATTATATGCATTTATTGACTGAATTCCAAGGTGTTTGCAGTGTGATTGTTAGTGGGTTACTCCCTTCATGGCTGTGCATTGTTGGTGTGTAATTAGATGTTCACTACTTGAAAAAAAATATGTGTTTCATAAACGGGCAGTGTTTCAAATTTGCAATGAATATTTCTGTATCATTTTGTGAAGCATACACTTTGTGTCGTTATAATACTACTTTAGCTGAGCTAGTGTATCCTGTGTTGTGACCCTTACAGGGGTCAGGGGCTGTGTAGAAATCAGTGGATATATCGCAGCAATGGCCTATTAAAAGATTGTGTGGTTTGTGGCCAGTTATTACCTGAAGCCAGCCTTTTCCTTAATGGACTGCATGTCCAGTCTTGTTCCTTTTTCTTCTATAGCAGCTGTGTTTATCTGCAAGTATTCCACTGTCCATGCAGGTTAAATGGCAGGTCAGGTATTGTGTGGTGCTAGAACTTGCTCATGTGACAAGTTTGTACTAAAAAGATGTATAGTTGATTGTTAGGGTCAGGGAAGGAACAATAAGTTGTTTGATTCCATGTGCAATTGTAAAGAGTGCTTATTTGCTTATGGCAAATGGACAGTGCTTTGACCTAAATATGGTGTAAGCTTTCAGATAATTGAATATAATGTATATTGTGTGAAAATATGTACATTTGCTCGCAGGCCTTATATTTTGTATACTCCAGACTGAGTAGGCAAAGTGAACTTATTGTTTGCCCCACTGAGGAGTTGCACCCTGACCCAGACCTCTGAGTTACCTTGCTGCTCCTGGAGGGTTAGGCTCACAGCTCTGTTTGTGCAGGTGTTGTGATGCTATGTGCCATCTAGTTGCAGAGGTTTTAAATTATTTGAGTAAGCATAGAATCAGATTGTTTATAAGTGGATATATATATATAAAAAAACATATATTATAAATATATATATATATTATAATGGCGATGTATAAGATTACCCTTGTACAATGGTTGGAAAGCAGAATCCTTTATACTGTTCAGCAACTATATAATATATTAATAGACATTAAGAACAAAGAGTATGAGAGCCAAAGTTTTATAATGGGACTACCTTATGTCCATAAGGTTTTTTCTGCAAAATTGCAGTTTTGGTACATTGCTCTTTCTCACATTACTATGAGTAAATATTATACATAAAGAAATATATATAGAGAGAGAAAAATATATATTACAATAAAAAAAATATATTTTATGTAAGTGTATCGATGATACTCTTCTCCACTATAAGTCAATTTTTCTGAAAATAATAAAAAAATTTAAAATTATTATTTGGGGATGATATATTTATCAGAACTCAAGTGCTCAGTTGGCACACAAGGTGCAACCTAGTTGCATCCTTGGCATATTTAATTTCTGTGGTGGTTCATTGTATGGGTTTTGAACGAAACTACACTAACATTGTATTCCGCATGACATATCCATCTTTCATACCTTAAAAAAAATATAAAAAGAAAAGAAAGAAGAAAGAAAGAAAGAAAAAGAGAGAGAGAGAGAAAATTCCATTCCCCTAAAAGTCTCTTAAAATTTCTATTAAAGAATTCTGACATTTTCTGTGAGAATTTAAATAATTTATGTTTCTTCAATAAAACAAATACAGATTTTCAGCATGCTCCTTGCAAATTTCATGAGGTATAATAATGTAAACTTGGCAATAGAAGTTGAGGCAACAATGAGGCAATATATTTGTAGTCATAATGTCACTTCACATTTACACAAATTTCCACAATTCTAAATCAGCCATAGTACCCAGCTGCTAATTTTCAATTTACTTTTCAGCACCAATTATAAGTGATTTTTCACCTACTACAAACAATGTGGTGTGGAAATAGATTGAATGAATGAAATAATAATTTTGACACAATTTGGCTGCATAAAATCAATAACTCATAAATATCTATTTGCACTCTCACCTTAGAATTTGATAGAGCATTACGACAGTATTATGATGGCTTAAAATATTGAGGATGAAACTGCCTCATAGAATAAGCCAAGTACAAAATTTAAACAACTGGAAAATTTATTGCAGTGCCTTCATTTTGTAAACATATATATTTGTGGGGAACAACTGTCCAAGAATTTGTAGTAAAATTATTTATATTACATATAATAAAATTTATACCATTTATCTTTTCCTTTTTACATTTATTGGTGTAGCTCACATTTTCTTTGTCTACATTTTCTTTTTTCAAATACAGTATAATGCATTAGTTTTCATTACTCAGCCAGTGGGATTTTATTGCTACTAATTTTACAAGTCATTTAAACGATCTCATTTACCACATACTTAACCATTACTTCAATGCGCTTTATTGTACTTGCCACTTTTATTGAGGATTAATTGCGTTAAAGTGTTTTTAATGTGTGTGGAATAACAAAGGTAAAAGGTAATTCAATTACATTATTAACAAAAAGTCAGACAATATATAATACAAACAGCTTACTTTCTGTGAAGTAAATGAAGTTGAAATTTTTAATTTGCAAATGTAGGAAAGCAAAATATGACATGCTGCGTTCTTTGCTTGTGTCTCGGATACAGGGTATGAAAGCTAAATGAAGTTCAAGACTGGTTTCATTGTGATCATATTATTTGCTTAAAGAAAAATTCAAAATTAATGTGTTTTGTGAAAGATTTGCTAGATACATACATTACTAAAATAATCCCAAAGTAACAGTTTAATGTTAAAATTGTGACTTTTGTTTGTACACTGATGCAATTTCAGTTTGCTGTACATGTTGTATTTCTGTATATTTGTTCCTTTGGTAGCAGTCTTTGTTACAGAGCAAGGACTAATAATCACTGTAATACGACATACTGCTAAGGGCTTGCAAGATATGTAATACATGACTAACATAATTTTAGTTTGTACTACTGTTTACTCCCCTGAAATCCAATATTTACTAACTGAATTATCACTCTCCCATTTTCTGTTTATTCAATTCTTGAAGATAAGGGGCACGCTGAATTTTCACAACCCCTGGCGGACAATTAAAGCATTTTATGACTTTCACAAGGACGCAAATGATTATTGACAAATATCAGAATCCATCATTGAATAATTTGGGGGGTGGAGTTCTTCTGCTATCAGGAGGTATATTGAAAGTAAAACAAGATGCAAATAATTTTATATTGCAACATCTTTGATATTTACTATATTTTAAATTCTTGTTTCTCTGGTAGAGAACCATTTCTGAAGGTAGTATGAAGAAATTGTAGAAGAAAATAAAAAATAATACGGTAGGCTGGTATAGTAAAATAATTCAAACCAGAATTATTATACAGTATAAGTAATACACGTATTACACGTACTATATATACGTAATTATAGCGAGGATTGTCAATTTGGCGGGAAATGCATTTCGAAGGGTCTTGTTTTGTTGGTAACACTGTAAAAAGAACTAAATAACGATAGTCTTTTATTTAGTAGCTCGTGTTGTCTACTTGCGGATTCGACGAACGAGACTGTCGGTCGAAACGAGAGGCTACGAACGTAAACGAAGGGAAAGGAAAGAGAACACGAGCAGGGAACGCGATTATCGGGGAAGAGGCTGTGCTTGGGCTGTCAGAAAGATGCGTGTATGCTGGGAATGTTGGGTGTGCGGATGGCCAATGCGTGGCTAAGAATCAAGATACTGCATTTTTTCAAACTCAGGGAATAATACTGTGCAGTGACTGATCAATTTTATGAAATTTCGACCTGCGGAGATTAATGCCTTGCCTTCGTTGTAGACACTGTGGGACCTTTGATGCAAGTTGGGTAGAAATCGAGGGTTCCCACATGAAGATATCGTTCCTACATTATTTGAATGTATTGGGTTAACAGCTTTACTGTGATTAAGTGCTAGGGGCATTATCAGTAGTGATTTCAGAGTTCCACAATATACTTGTTGAATTATATGACATGTATACACAAACATAAAATGAATAGTTGACTTGTCATTTATTGGGCATTTTATTTATTAAAATTTTCTTTATGTATATATTATGTACATACTTAATTGATTTATGTATATACCATATTGATAGTTATTTTGTGGGTAGTATTAATCATGAGCAGTTTTGAACAATATACATCACATTAAATTGAATTGTTAGACAACAAATGTTTAAAAGCTACTATAAAGTTAAATTATTTACCCTTCAATATGGATGTTGATTCCCCTGTTGGCTTGAAACGATCCAGTAGTGCTCCAATGATAAATGAATTAAATACAACAATGACTACTGCATCCACTTCATCAACAACAAGGTAGTAAATTTGGCATGAAAATAATTTATTTGGTGTCGTGTACTGATCAGCAATATTTACATATTGCTTTACGTTTTGGTTATCTTTTCAAATAGTTAGATCTTTTGTGCTTTTTTTCACTTTGTAAATTCACTACATAACTGCAATTTTAATATATTTTTGGATTTTTATTTTCTTTCCTGATTTAATGATTTTAAATTGCCATATTAATGGTATTATTTTAAACTTATATACTGGAACTATATTCTGGAATTTTGCAAATGGATGACAGACTAATGCTTTTGTAAAATGAACATACTTAATTTTTGTCAGCAACACCTTTTTTTTCTTCAACCAAAATTGAAAATTACCAAATGTCTCGAAATAAATTATCACTTTATGAAAGGATGTTTTGAATGGAAAAGGAAGTGGATGGTTATGAACTGCATTCATACAGTGTTAGCATATGGAAAACAGATTATTAAGGGAATTTGTTTTTGGTTTTTTTTTTTTTTTTGTTAATTTTCAGGGATTCCTCTCCTTTCAATATATTTCCTGCTCAAACCAGGACAAGGAGATTTAGTGCTAGTTTCAGTCCTGTGCATAGCCCCAGTGTAAGGATTTTCAAATTTGTTTTTGGAAATTTTTATTTTCTAAATAAATTGTTGCCAGTATAGTTGGATATTATTTATTTGTAGGGCCCAGGGCCACGCCTTACTCCCAGAGTTAGTCAGCTTAAACAAGAGGAATGTGTGGATGTTGTTGGCCGAGAGGCTGCTCATGAACGTGAACTGCACACTGCAATGCAAATGTCTCAGTCTTGGGAGGATCTTGCGTTAGTAGGCAACAGTCCTACACCACGAAAGGTAATAAAAGTACATTGTTTACTTTATTGTGTGAAAAGCTTTGGCAGAATTGCCATATTAATAAAGGCATAATTTTTTTTTAACAAGAAGCAGATACGTAAAACAAAAATCTCTTCAAGAACATTCATTTCTATTTTAAAGAAAATAATGTATGTGGGGATCAACAGATCAACATGTATTAATTCCAAAATTTATTTCAATTTACTTCAAAATCAGTTCTTAATAATAATAATAATAATAATTATGATGATAATAATGATTAACCTTTTGAACTTACCTCAAAGATGTGCCAAATTAATTGAAATAACAGTGAATATATAATCATCAGAAAATGTTAAATCTTGTGATGATGTATTTAAAATGAAGTAAATTGAATAGAAATGAATTTGTTGACCTGTTGCTCCTCATGTATTATAATGGAATTATGAAGTATAGGTTAACAATCATATATTATTCTCTATATTTCTCAGTTACATATATTTTTCTCGAGTCGTTAATAACTACATTATGCTTTTTTTTGTCATTTTGAGAAAGATATCAAAATTGCACATTTTCAGATATCGTGAAATGATTTTTTGCAAACATGCCTTCAAAATGTTCAATGAGAATTTCCATATAGTACCAGGTACTTTTCCATAATATTCTTGTAAGTCATATTTGAATTCTACTTATGGTGTGAACAAAAAATTGAGAAAATATTGGAGGTGGATAGCCTTTAATTGATAACCACTTGCAAGACAGTTTCAGAAAGAGAAAACTTAACTAGTATGAGAGTCTGAGCCATTCTTTAGAACCACTTCTTGAGTTTTTCGCTGGTTGTAGGAGGGATCACCTCTGAAGATGCCACGTATTTTTGGTGTATTTTTGTAAATTATTCAACATTTGTTCTTGTTTTGTTATGAATTTTTTGGAGCTCTTCTTGTAGCTTCTGTAGAGCACAACCAAAGTTGGCCACCTTTCAAAAGTAGGTTTCTTCACGTGTTCATCCAAAAATTCATCTGTTATACTGTAGATAAATTTTGTAAAAATTTCCAATATTTTTCATTGTGAAAATTAAAATTTTTTTGTCATATTTAATGCAAAAGTTGTTTTGCAATTTATTTGATATGATTTCCTAAAGTTTATAAAATATCATGTCAAAACACGCAATGGAACAATTCCACTATTGTTTGGGGAACTAAAATTAACTTGTGGACTCTCAAATGTCCAGATACAGTTTCAAGTAATGCTATTTCCAAAGTAAAATTTAAATATTCAAAAGTAATATGGACAATTATTTTGCTGTTTGTGACAAATATCTACCAATCTCTTTTGCAAAAAATTGTCATTTGTAAAAATGAATTTTAATTATTGAAAAATAGCAAGTCGCAAATTAATTGCTTCGTAGTTAATTTGAAAACTAAGTAAAATGTCCAATGTTATCAAATTTTTTATTCTGTGTCAGTAAGGAATTAATACTTAAACATACATGTAGATATGGTAAGAATAAATAAATAGACTGTGACCATCTGTTTGTCATGATCGCTGTAAATATAAATTTGAAAAGTTATCAATACTTTCCAAACTTCATTTTTACCAGGGATTTAATCCAATTACAGGAATGGAAAAAGGAAAGTTTCGTTATGTGAGGCTTCAGATTTCTGGGGATGCTCAGAAAAGGGACAGCGAATGCTGATTGCCTCAGGCCCTGTATTAATGGGCTACCACAATTTTTTTTATTTGAATAAATAAATAATAGTAGTTCAAATTAAGTGATGTAAATTATTTGTTGAATATTGTTGTGTTGAATGGCCGAATGAATTCTGTTGATAATTATTGTTTCAAATAAGGGACTGTGGTGTAGAATGGGCTAGCAGATTCTGGATAGAATCTGCTAGTGGTGTAGAATGGGTGTCAGCTGCCCAGGGCGGAGGAAAATTTCAGCACCCCCTTATTTAGGTATTTCAATTTTTAAAAAACTAAAATATACAGGTATTCTAAAGAACTTTTCGATTGAACAATTTTCAAACTTCCGTCAATTCCTTTCTGTCCTCGGAGAGCAATAGCTCTATTGAGAGCTCCACTCTACATCTTGCTTTGGCGGGTCCTAGAATCCTGAGCAAGAAGCATTTGGATACAGTTTTTCTCTCTAATGAGAGTAATCGGGTGTCGGATGTCCGATAAACATGAGACTCCCACGCTCTAGAACGGGGTCGCTCGTCATAGTTCCCATTCAAAATCTGACTATATATGGGGCAGATTATCTGCCACCTTGTTTTTACAATAACTTTGAATAAATTCAAGTGAGTTTACAATAGTTATTTACCTTGCCTGAGGCAACAATAAAAGTCTTCAGTCGAAGTCGTTCTAGCTTAAAATCCTGCTCGTCAATTTTGGCAGATGTAAAGTCTAGATTACATTTAATATCTTCCAAATCTAGTAATGCAGTTGATGTTAGATAAGGAAACTTATCCGCCAAATTCTGTAGCTGCTGAAATCACTCACAAATTTCTGTAGATAATCTATCTAACAAAGAAAAGGGCTTCGGTCTCAACTTATTTTCACCAGACAAGTTGGCATCTCTGGTTTCGTCATAAAAAATGTGCCTTCTCGTTATGCGCCTCTGAGGTTCCATAGAAATGCCAGGTTCGTCTATATTGAAAACTTGAGTACTTTCCGCTTAGTTTTGCGTGAAATACAGGCAATTTTAAATATTATTTAAACAATTTTTTTCTCAAAAATGCCTCCATCTTTTTTTATTAAATTTTGTTGTTGGATAGCGCTTAGAATGTTTATGAGAATGGTGCATGTCTCATTTTCGTTGAAAACCCTAATCTTTGAAAATTGAAAAAATTCAATTTTTTTTCGGCATCTTCTTACAACTAAAATATGATGAAAAACATTTTTTTAATGAAATGTGTTCATGAAAAAAATCTCATTTTTGTTATTTAAGGTCGCATCAACATCTAGGTCATTAGCGACCACTATTGCATTTAATGGTATGGTAACTATGAAGATGACATATTATGGTGATGATAGGATATGAAAGGACAAACACAAATACAACCATCCCCGATGCAGGACCTTTCCAAGGAACAGAGAAACCCGTTATCTTTCGGTTTGAGATTATTACGGCTCTACTGCCTTAATGTAAAAAAATCTTCCAAGCAGGTCATGTTGAATTTGTGAAAATATGAGTATTTTTAGTAATTTGATGTTAAACTTAGCTCCCCGTTCCGAATATTCTGCACTTCGTGAACGTAATACGAGAGGTTGTTCCAGGTAATTGGATGCTATGTAAGTTAGAATTTGTTTACGATTTCATATTTCTTTGATTGTTTCTTATACTTGAGCTTTTGTTATATATTTGCAAATTAATCTTTTAGAAGTACTTTAAAACCTTTTTGAAATATATGAAATAAAAATTGCTATCCTTTAGGAAATATCAGATCGGAATGCAACAATAGCATTCCGGATCGTGACTCAGCAGCTGAATCTGTGAATTATGTGTCATTATTATGACGTGATTTAGCTGTATGAAAAAGTTATAATTGTTAAATTTTTGTTGATGTTTGCTTGAAAATATTTTGTTTTCGCAACAAATGTTCTACGATATGTAATGAGTTTAACAAAAAATGATGACTGATATGTGTTAATTGAGGCAGAAATAGTATAAATAGTATTACGAAATCATTACTAAGTGCGAGAAAGAATGTGCTGTTTTAGCCTTAGTTTTTTGGTATATTAATATTTACGACAAAATGCGTACATTTGTGAGACAATGTTTTCACCAGCGGTGAAATAAATAATAGTATTTCATGTAATAATAATTATGTTTATTACACCATGATTATATCACAAACATGTGCATTTTTGCACACATTTTGGAGTAATGAAAAATATTGTTTTAAGCTGAACCTCACTTGGTAATTGGTATCGAAAAAAATAGTTCATACATAAGTTGTAGAAAATTTTATCTTCTTTAAAATAAAATTTTTTATACATAATTTAAGTTTGAATTATAGAAAAAATACAAAAAAGTGCTGGATTTCCGGGCTACCCAAAGTTGATACAGGGTTTAGGAGGTCGAAAACTTCAGTGACCAGGTATATACAATAATTTCAAAGAAAAAGCTTCTACAACATTTTTCCAGGTAATTCCTCTTTTGCAGATGACAAAATTTACAAGTTTTACATTCCTTCTAATATTTGTATGTTCATTTGAAAATTATGCTTTATATAAAGTTTTGTATAAAGTTATGTATTCTGCAGTAATTCTGTGAATTAATTAAAAACCTTTAATTTTGGTTTCCAGGCAGACATGGCAGAACGTACAAATCGGGGTGTATGTGACTTTCTGCAGTTGACTTTGCCTCAAGGTCCTCCAGTTTGTTCCTCACCATCTCCGACTCGACTTGGTCGTCAAGGCCTCTCACCTGGTCTTCCTATGAACTGGAAAAGCACCCTGTCTCCTAGCCCAACACGCACTTTTACACGGTGAGTTGCTTTCATTGATTTGGAAGTAATAGTTCACTGTGAATCATTATTACTTTCAAATTTAAGCTGGGAACATAATTTGTTTGATAAAAATTAATATTTGTATAATATTTACAATTATCATTAACTACTAAAAAAATATTTAACAGAACTTGGGAATCATCCTAATAAATCCTTTAATACTGCAATGCTTACCAGCTGTCCTTAGAATGTTCTTTGGATTCATTTTGACCCTGAGCTTTCAGCAATAGGTACTTCTTAAAAAGTGATATTACAGTTAATCTGTGTTACTCTAACACCCTTAATAATAATTATTTCTTGTATAATAATTACATTTTTAAACAACTCAATCTGAAGCCTATGCAGATCTGTTAACAACATTGCAGCATTGCATTCAGAGTAATGTAGTTCCTATTCTGACACACTTTGAACTTCCAGAAAGCGTTGTTAGCCGAATTGCTTAACTATCCTCCATGAAGTGATGGAAGTTATGCAACTCGAAACACTGTGGGTTCCTGGATTGGTGACCGTCTAGGAACCTGTTTTCTAATGACTCTAAGCCCCTAGCCGAAGTCATAGCAGGGTCATTGTCTAACTGTGACGTGTTGAGACAAAAAATAGGATTTCTCCAGAGATTACATGCTCAGTGGCCAAGACGGGCTGAACGAGGTGTTGCAAAAAAGATGCAACAATTTAAAAACCAAATCGGATTTTTAAATATAAAATTGAGGAGTGTTTGATTAATCTGTGACAGGCGCAGCCAAAGCCCGATTGCCATGAGGCCAAGTTCCTTGGGGCCCGTGAAGCGCAAATGCGAGATGGATGAAGACAAAGTGGAGCCATACATGCCACCAGCAAAGAGGCTGTCATGCAGTGGGTTGCTTGTGGCTCATGCTGGCCGGTGAGAAATCTCTTTTAAGTTGTAAATGTTTGTTTAAAGCTATAAAGTTTTGGTTGTGTTTGTATGAAGAAGAGGTCAAAATGTAAATACTGGTTGAACTCAATCTACATTACATACTTCCTATTATTTTTGCAAATTGTTATTAGCTCTTTCAAAGCAGACTTATTGTCTACTTGTTTATAACTTCCCACCAAAAACAGTTTCGAGATAATATTCTTATTGAAGTGTTTTCCAACTACTAAGGGCAAAATTCATTAATCACTTATCTGATCGTATCTCACAGAGGTTCCTTCTGAATACAGAATCTGTGATCCCTAAAGTGATTGGAAATGTGGCATTGTGTTATAAGCACTTGCTTTTGAAGTTATTGTTGCCAAAGAGTATTCACACCCGATGTTTTTCATACCAATAGCATTCAACAGGTTGTGATGCTCTCACAGCAATCCCAACCTCATGTTTACATTGCGTGTACTTCGCAACAATATAATTATTAGTTAACAATTTTCTCAGCATTAATTTGTGCTATCTTAATATTAATGGTACAGAGAGAATGTTATAAGAAGGGACTGCTTTGACAGCCACTGCTGATATCATAACTGCAGGTTATGTGCTAAAGTAGTTTATCCATTAGTTTGCAGTTGGCTCACGTGTAAATGCTTTCGACAAAACTTCTTGCAGTGTGATCATCTACCATGACTTTGGTTTTCTGACTAGTCAAACTGGTCCGTTCTTACACTTAACTTCTCTATATGAAGATATTGATAATTATTTTCATTTCAGATATAATTACATATTAATGCCCACATAGGGTAAAAGAGCAAACAATGGCCACAGTTAATATAATTTTTGATAGCTTTTTAGCTTTGATAGCAAAAAAGTGCTGGTATATGTGACACTATTGCAATGCAATTAATAAAATGTTTTCAGCTTATTCTTTAAATATGAAATAAGGGGATATAAATCATTTTCATTCTAATTTTAACCACTAGAAGGTATAACAAGCTCCATGCTCTGCAAATATGAAGCCTCTAAATTATCATTTTTCAAATTTTGTGATGTTGCTACTACCAAAGGCAGTGGCCACTACTGGTGACGCTACCTGTTTCTATTCCTTTTTAGCACATTTTGCTGTCATTCTCTACATTTCTGCGAACTGTATCAACAAATTCTCAGAATTGACACATATTTGCATATTTGTATGCGCTCCTTGTTTAAACTTTTTCTGAACACACAGATTGTATCAAATGATGCCACATTCTGCTAAACTATGTGACTTGTGAGCATGTTGAACCAACTGTTGAATATAATTCTAATGCTGATCTCTTGCCATAGGCCTGATGCTGCTGCCAGTCCCCTTCCAGGTTCTCTGAGCTCTGTTGGCACTCCAGATTCATTGTCTAGTGCCGATTCTCCTGGATTTACATTCCGGCCTGTGGACAGCCCATCTCCAGGTCGAGGGGTCCCTGCAGGACCCACTGATGAGCCAATGAACGAGGAACCACCTCTCGAGACGGGCAAAACCCGCCCTGGCTTGTCGTAGTCCTTCCGCATCCCCTGTCCTCTAGTCGCTCACTGCCTCGACCCCTGTCCCTTTGTGTGCTTTCACCTGTGCCCAAGGGCCTATGTATATTTTGTACTATAGCATCACATTGCGCCTGCGATGCCAGTCTGTATTGAACCTTCCTGCCAATGTACACAATAAATTGTTGAATGTTCAGTATTGTTAATGTTGTTATTCTTGTTTCCCTAATCATTTGGCTTAAGTGAAAAGAAAGATTATACAATTTATTAGAGAAAGTAAATCTTTTCACATCGCAAAGAATTATAATTTCCAACTGTTCAACTTGTGAAGTTGGAGTATGCTAACTCTTGAAGAAAGGGTTTAGAGAAACTGTGGGAGTGAAGGAAGCAATGACAGTTGGCATATCAAATGCAGACCAGTGTTGGCAAGTTGTTTTCACACAGTTCAAAACAGTCAATTAATTTATTGCTTATTTATTATTTTTAAGTTCAAAATAAAGTTTATAGACATAAATAGTGTGTTGAAGAAATATTGTTATTTTTTAATGTAATGTATAGTACCCTTTCCCAAATAATACTAATCTTTAAATATAGGGCTTCTGCTTTGTTTCGCATCGTGGTTGCTCCCTAATCTGCCTTACCATTCAGGAAACTCAATCAAACTCTACTTTAGTAAAACTTTAGTAGGCCGAGTCCACGCTCCAGATATTGCATTCGAAACGTAGATCATGAATTCCTGCCCCCGTCAAGCTTTGGTGCATGAAAGAATGCATTCGCGGCTCCAATGGAATGGGAAAGAAACTCTCATATCTTTGCCCTTACCAACGTGTCATATTAATCTAGAATACTCTTCTCGTACCTGCCTCGTGCATGCGAGGGACAATGGTGGCTGTCTGGATGACTGGCTCTGCCAGTCCTTCTCCCAAGGAAATTATATCAGAGTCCCTGAATGATATTGGATGAAGGATCAATGGGAGAGGTAGAGTGGATGTGGATTTCGATAGTAGGGGTTTCTTTAGTCTTGGAGGAAGGTGGCTATGGAGAAAGTAATGTTTAAGGTTTGGAGGGACGCAGAGCGTCCCTCGCTGAATCCGAATTGGGTTGGGTGAAGGATAGAGTCGACTATGAAGGTTAATCGGGGAAAGATCACCTTTTCAAAACTTTTACTTAGGATAGGTAGGATTGGTCTCGTTGGTGGATTGCCTATGATCCTTGCCAAGTTTGGGAATCATTGACACACGAGCTGTTTCTCAGAGGGTGGGGAAATAGAGTTTAAAACGAGTTGAGGATGAAGGTAAGTAGGCTTCTTTGAGGGGGGGGGGTTGCGAAGATCTCGCACCGGGTCCTGGTGATTAGATTGATTAGCTATTGTCTGAGTTGCGTGTGTGGGGGGGGGGGGGATTTTTACGGTCTTAGAGACAGCGTGGCTATGGATAAGGTAAGGTCTAGGGTGTGGAGGTACGCAGAGTAAATTGGGATGGGTGTAGGATATGGACGATGATGGGGGTTATCTCTCTGGCCACCCGCTTAGGCGGTCTGCTAACAAACCCGCATACAACTTGTAAAGTGTAGGCGTGAGTGATATAGGACGTCAGTTACCCAGGTCCTCGCCTTCACCGTCCATGGGGAACTGGGCCGGTTCCGCCCTCATGCTCCCGCAACACAGTGGATCCGGACAATTCAACTCGGGGTTTGCACCGAGGATCGATCGAGGGAAGGTGAGCACAAGTGAGGCACCCCGCCCCTGGGGCAGTGTTGCTGCACTTACCGAGTTTCCTCAGCCCCTCCGCCGGCGAACAGTCGGCGATGTTAAAGAGGTCCCTGCCTAGAGGCCGAGGAAATGGTTTCTCGCATATCTCCGGGGAGTTGCCATACAAGGAGGTGAAGAATGTATCCACATCCTTGGGGCTTCGCATCGGGCATCGTCCTCCCCGCAGTGCGCCCGCATCAGCTTCCGCTGATGTCGCTTGTAGGCCCGGAGTTGCTGCTCTGGCACCTTGATGTGTGTCCTGGAGCGTCCAGCGCGGGGGGGGGGAGGCGTAGCCCGAAAGGATTTTGACGTGAAGTCTTCTGTATCTCACCGACGCACTTTTTGCTCGCATCGAAAGCAGCTGCGCTCTGCAGAATCCGACTGGTTTAGGAGCTGGGTCAGCTCTGTGACAGCTGCTGTCAATTCCTCGGACCAGGTGATGCCCAGCTGTTTTCGCAGACTTCCGTAGTGGGAGGGTGCGAGGGACCGCTAGCTGGAGGGCCTGGGAAAGGTGTTACAACGTGGGTCGCGACCCCTTGCCGGCGTCAGGCTGACGTTGCCTGCAAGCATCGGGAGTGCTCGGCCGGCGCTTGCCCCACCATTACCCCGTACTGCGCCGAGTCTCAGGCCTCGCATACTACCCGCTCCGCAGCGCGCACCGGCGGCGAGGTCTGACTCTATCTCTCCGTCCATTTGGATTTCCGTCTGGTCCGCGCGGTGTATGCGGTGTGGCTACTGCCGGGGTCCGGGCACTGCAACCAACTTGGCAGGGGCGTTGTGAGGGTTGCCGCCAGTAGTGGCTGCAGGGGCAATGGTCAGCGCCTGGGTGCAATATCCCGCCGTATACAAGCCTGCTGCTCTAGCTACAGGGGATGTGCCTCATGTCGACGTCTCTGTATTTGGTGGCCCTTTCAGGCCTAGTACCGCGTCCTCCAAGCGGAGGGGGGATTGGATCCATCCTCACTCCGTGTCGCACACCGTCTGAAGGGCTATGGGAGTCATCACCGCACCCTCCAGGTAAGGGGTCCTATCTGATGCCAGGAGCCCCGATACCTCGTCATAAAGGTGGACTAGTTTCTGCAATTGAATTTACTGTGGATGTCAATGAAACAGACCCCGTCACGCACAGCAACGGCGAAGTGTTCATCTGCCGAGGAGAGGGCGGGCTGGCAGCCGCCTTGGAGCACGTTTCTGCTGTCGCGACGCAGTTAGCTTACGTTACTATAATTAAGGATAATGCTAAATGTAGTACATAAACCCAATTGTACTCTGTTCTTTTGCTTAAAAAAATACAAAAATGAATTTTTTCATGTCTCTCAAAATGCATTTTACTTTGCTGTTTTGCGTATTTTTTTTATTTGACTGCGCAGCTTTGATCAGTTCTATGTGATTTAACAATAATTCTTTAATTTGAGAACAACGTTGAGAAAAATGAAACTAATATGTAAAAGAGAGATAAGATAATTATGTTAATAATTTTATATTATGTCTTGTAAAACAATTAAGTATGATTCATATATTTTTCGGCTAATCGAGCTCAATGGATATTCGATCTTTGCCTCATTCTAACTTAAGGAAAGAAAAGACAACGCACGATTCTCCTATCCTTATTCTCTTATACTGTACAGCTTTAGATTACATTCCATTTCATCACAAAAGCTTTTGAATAAAAAAAGTTCCACTATTTTGTGGGGGAAAAACCCTCTGTGATTTTGAAAAATATTGTGACTTCTTGGCTGTCCGGGTGACGCGACGCCGCGTCGTTGGCTGAGAGGCGAGTCCGCGATACGAACTCACTACCCTGAAGAGACCAGCGGTATGACAGGCGAAACGTCGGCCTCTCAGCCAACGACTTCTTGGCGTCACCCGGACAGCCAGGAAGTCATGAACTCGAACCGCGGAAGCCTTCGTGTACATTTGAAAATATGCTTTAAAGTTTGTAGGTACTTTACCTCTGTAAGACCCTATGACATTTTCAATTTTTTTTAAATTGGCTCAATTTTTTTTCTTTTATTTTTTTCTGAGAATAGAGTGAAATACACTTATGAGTGTGGCGTAGTACAGGTTTTACTGATAAGTATTAACGTATTGTATTAACTGATAAGTATGAATAAGTATTTATTTATAACTTTTATTAGGACCAATTTATTGAGAGAAGGATTAGTTTAGATGGTATTACCAAAAAGGAGAAGTTAAACGATTTTTTTTTCATAATTTGTCCAACTTTGTTTAGTACTAGTATGGGAACAAGTGGTCAAACAAATATAGGTTTGGTCTCATTCAATGCAGGCCTTGATGCCCTACAACTTTTAATAGGAACACGTTTCCAATATTGTGAGTCCTTTACGAGATATAATCATAAAACACCAAAAATATCCCTTTTTGGGATGCATTTTTACCCCTCACCACTTAAGCACAACTCCACCCAATGGGAAGGAATATGATAGTCATATTAGGCCACAAATGAAGTAATTAAAATACTGAAAACCCTTGTAGCAATTATTTCTGATTCATCCACTTTTTTGGTTATATTCTACAGGATTAAATGGTTTAGTTTTATTTACAGTGATATTTACTCGTATGTTGAGGGAAGAGGATTTCTTAAAAAATTTCAATTATTTATTTTATTTTAGATTGCTGCGTAACAAGTGGTCCTAAGTGATCAGAATCTGATTTACAAATTTATATTTTAACAAAACGTACATTTTTGATTACCTATCATATTATTGTCTTTTAACAATTTCAAACATTCAATATTAAGTATAGTTAATATTACAAACATTGAATTTTTTAACAGTAAAAGAAATACTATACATATTTATCTAATTTTGTAACACATTCAATAACTTTGTGACACTGCAAAGTAGAATTTAATATAGATTGGATATCTTCATCAAGTTTGAAGTTTTTCGTGAGATCACTCGTGAAAAGACATTCAACTAGTAAATGGGATGTAGAAATAATTCTTGAAGCATTTTATTCGAAATATATCATATCCTGGGGCTTTATGAATATTTATATTCTTTGTTCTATGTAATTTTGATACTTATCTAATGCGTATTTATCTATATGTGATTTAATTGTTCATGATAATTTATTTATTTGACGTTTGATATCTTGTCTACGTGTTTGTTGAAAAAATCTTCGTAAGTTATATGTTTTTATTTGATTATGTTAATTATATTTAGTGGTAATTGTTGTCGTTCTGAAATGTCTGGTTTATGAATGATAGTTGGTTTTTGAAAAGGAAGACTTAATGTCTTAGTAAATATTTCTATTTCATTATCAATTTTTTGAATAGTGTTTAAGTTTTTGGGGAATTTATAATTATCATTCATAAATTTTCTATAACTTTCCCAATCGATATGAATATTATTTGGTGTAGATTGTAGTGTATTACTACAGATTGTAAATCTGTAGTAATTGAGATTGAAAACAGATTACTACCAGAAGATGGTCATAATCTAATTCCGGAATAGGTGATTGAACGATTGGAAAGTGAAATATTTTTGATATGATAATGTCTAGAATGTCGCAAACAATATTATTATGAGAAGAATAGTATGTGGGAATGGAGGGAGCATGTATTTCAATGTTATTGTGTGTAATATAATGGAGTAGACGAATACTTTGAGGTTTAGTACTGTTACATGCCCATGAGGTATGTTTAGAATTTAAATCACCAAATAATAAAGAATTTGAATTTTGAAAAACATTGTAAATTGTGTATGGAAATATTTTATTTGGTGGTTTACATGCTGTATATATTAAAATATATGTTT